GAGAAACACATGTTTGAGATTTTGTCCCAAGCAGCATTTAGCTACTCAGGGAATCATTATCATCAGTATTATATGACTTTTTTCAAATTAAATTATGTGCATGGTGTACATTTTTTTTAAGCTTCATAAAGACCAAACAAAATAATATCTTGTCTAAAAGGCATTGATGGTATCTGACGATAATAAGGGCGTGTTACTGTGTCAAACATTGGCTTTGGATAAAAGTGTGGAGAGAAAAATAGTCAACTGAGAGATAGAATGGTTATTATACAGCTGGCGAGATGGTCCCACAATCGGAACTAGAAAAAAAAACAACAACTAATTTTTGGTGCCATCGTTATAAGCCAGAAAATAACCCAAAAAGGCGATTGCGAATGTATGTCAACAAACATGCAATGCAAGAGTTATTTGGCAGGAACGCCGTATAATGGCAGTCACGAATATTATAAGAAAAGGGCTTGGCCCCAAATTTAGTGTTTACAAGTTTCATTATAAATCTCTCCTTTTCTAATAGAAAAACTAAACTGTAATAGTTAGTTTAGTTCATTTTCTTTTATACCTGTTCGCTTCTTCAATTTTTTATCGAATACAAACCCGAGCAATGCCCGGGCTATAGGTTTCTATATATGTGTTATATATATGTATGTATGCATATATATATATATATATATATATATATATATATATATATATATATATATATATATATATATATATATATGGTTAGTATGTCTCTTAGTAGCTTGTCGAAGGTTCTCGATTTGCTGAGAAACTTAAACAAATGATGAGTATCTTCTGGAAGGCAGGGCTTACGCTGCATATATAAAGGGATTGACAGACACGGAGGGAGACGGAGATTGATATATATTTTTAACTTCACGAGAGGTGTATTATTCTTTGTGTGCTCATATGTGTTTATTCGCATTCTTCATTCATCATTATTAATTGGCACATTGCATTAATTGTGTACCGGTACAAGATTTTCCCAAGTTGATTTTGTAAGTTGGTGATTTGTAATTATATTTCTTTTGTCTTGTAATTGTACTATTACTAAATTAAATTTTACTTATTGTAATTGGCAACTGTTTTTGCGTGTCGTAACTTTATTATTGTATTTCTCTATGGTATCGTCCTTTGCTGTACACTGTGTGAACGAGCAATAAAATTAAAATAGGAGATTAATTTCTCACAATAGAAGCCAGCGCGTAACAATATATGTATATATATATATATATATATATATATATATTTTATAATGAAGTTACACACGGTTTCTCAGTGCTAGTGTCAGGCATATGTCTAATTTTGTTTCTTCTTCATATAAATATATATATATATATATATATATATATATATATTATATATGCATTTTTTTCAATTGTATATTCATATTTCATGTTATGTAATGAATCTTTTTGGTTGCTTTCTAAATATGGATTTTGGTGTTACTTAATAAACGAAAACAAATATATTTGATGCAATTGGAAATACTATTTGCTTTTAATCTTGGGATTCTTGTTTGGTGAACCAATTGTTATGGTTTACAGTGTGCTAAGTCAAAAATAATAAGTAAGGAATTCATAATACAATTATATAAATTTTAGGACACCTTGACCTTGACATGAGTCACAAATGAAAATATCCACTGATTTAAAATTTAGTTAGAAAGGGGGGTTACCCATTTTTCTTGCTTTCTCTCTTGAGATCCACGGTTGGCTGACATAAGCAACTCTTCAGATCCACGGTTGGCTGACATAAGCAACACATTGATCGGGAATTCCTAAAAATTGATCCTACGTCACTCGTTGCTAGCGTGGTCGCTAAAGCAGTGATTCTCAAAGCGATTGTCCGTGACTCGACATCGGTCTGTGAGCCTTACGTTGTCAGTTGGAAAACACAAGACACGATAAAAGTTAAATATGTCAAACGACTATTTAAAAAAATAAATTATACTATGGCTACCATACTAGTAATATTTAATAGAGACCATTCGAAATGGTGGACCATCCATATTAACGTCACGCGTTTGGGAAAGGGTTGGGGAGGGGGCACGGACTATTTACGATGCTTGATACAGGTGTCTAAATTGTTTTAAAAATTTCATGATGAGGTTGAAAGGGTGTACGAATTCTTCATAATTTGCGCTACTTCATTTATTAATTGCCCCGTGGCTTATCAAGGATACATTTTTTTTAAAAGAGACAAATTTAAGGTCATATAAAGATATTTTGACACGAATAAATAAATAAAGCAATAGCCGCTGGAGCTATGGGAAAACTTATGAACTGGTCAGTCAAACCTCAAAGCTTGGGAAGCACTTTTCGATGAGACGAATTCTTATAATTTACTATTCATCACTGAATATTAAATAAATATTATGTCGGCTATTAAATTGTTTTGAGCATTGGCAATTTTACTTAACACTATTTTGATGCCTGCTGTCTTAAGAGAAAGTCAAATTTGTTTTTGGCATTGCTTAACTTTAACATTTTCTATCTCGGGTTGATCCTGTATTTAAGTTTATGCCAAAATGTGCCAAGTGTACTTGTTTTTATTGCCATTTTAATGTTTTAGCTACTGTTTTTATAGTCATTTTTCACATTGTAGTTACTTTTCTAGTGTCACTGGTTTTTCATTTTTATTTTGCTTTAGCAGTTTAACTAGTTTACATATTTTTAATACTTGTAAAGCGCTTAGAGCTGTAAGGTAAGCGCCATACAAAAATGCCTAAATAATAATAATAATAACTCACTTTTTTCGCAAAGCCCATCATATTTATATAGAAATCCTTCCACAATAAAACATAATCTTAACAAAAATGCCATATTTATATAGAAATACTACCACAATAACATATAGTCTTAACTAAAACCACCATATTGAAATATAACTATTTTTAAACTAACATATAATAATAATAAAAGATCTTATATAGCAGGGTACCCCAGCCTAGGGCTTGGCTCACCGCGCTGTACATAAAAATTTTATCAAAAGAGACATAATTATAACATTAAAATAAAATACATTTATAGTCTCAACTAAAACCACCATATTTACATAGAAATATTACCACAATAACATATAGTCTCAACTAAAACCACCATATTTACATAGAAATATTACCACAATAACATATAGTCTCAAATAAAACAAACCATATTTACATACAAATACTACGAAAATAATACACAATCTCAAAAAAAATAAAAAAAATTACATAGAAATATTACCGCAATAACACATCGTCTCAACTACAACCACTATATTTACATAGAAATACTACAACAATAGCGCATGGTCTCAATTAAACCCACCATATTTTCATCCACATACTGCCACAATAACCTCAGCCTTAGCTAAACCCAACCAGTTTACATAGAAATAATACTACAATAATAATATTATAATAAAGAGATCAATTTGGATACTGCTCATTGTAATCAGTCTACTATCTGTGTTTTAACGTAACATCTCCTTAGCATTTTACAATTGGACAACTTCTCATGCCGTATAGCGCCATCATTCGATACACTTCATCGATAGAATTTAATTTAAGTTAATGCTCATATTACTTTAATTTAATTTTTGTGTGGATATAATATATAATATTATGATTTATAATTAATTATAATAAGAGTTGAATTGGACACAAGTCATTGTCATATACAGGGATAAGCTATTTAGAAGAAGTAAAAAGTTGCTTTTGCTTTAGATTGATATAATGAAATGTAGATTGGGTAAAGCGATTTGAGATAATCTGTGTGTATAGACTAAGCAAACATTTCGTTAAAACCTGCATGTATTATTTTTATTCTTTAAAAAAAAAAAAAAAAAAACTTTTATAATTCATTAGGACCTAGATTTTATTGTAATTAAATATTGTTTCAATTGATGTAATATAATTTAAAGGAATGTTTATTATATTTGATATAGCTCAACATATTGATAAAATATTAAGGTACTATTTATATTTTATAGTCATAAATTAATTTTAAATTAATATTTATATATATATATATATATATGTTAATTAAATTACATGCCTGATAAAATAATTACCTATTATTTCTTATATTACAAACAGGAATCCGTAAAAGTTTTCTTAATATAATTACAAATATATGCAATATACATATATAAAAAAAGCGAAACTGGGCTAAGTAGTAACTCTCTACATAAACTGCTTTCACACACCAACAAAATCCCAAACACACATCAAACGTTTACATTTGTTTGTGTGTGTGAGCTATTTATTATTTTCTACATTTAAAAAAAAAATATATACTTTCATTACAATGCCTTTCTCAAGGTATCCATCTCAAACGTTGTGTCTCAAACGAGTACACATCTATTGCTGTGTATATTTCTGTATTTTGTGCTGCAGCTGCTTTGATTCTAATACTACGAAAAACAAATGTATACATATAAATATATATTAATTATAAAAAACTATTTATATATTTTAAGTAAATGCTTAAAATCTAAGTATGTACAACATACAAATAGAGGTTTTATATTTTAAGGCAAACATGTCAAATGTTTGAAAGTAAAGTTTAAAAAAGTTACCCAAAAAATGCAAGTATAAAAGTAACTTTTAAATATGTGTTTAAAAAAATACTTAAAATAGAAAAGCAATAAAATAAATGCTTTTCACATGGACAATCTACAATAAATAAAGAAAGTAATGCACTTGGTTCTCGTCAGAAGAACATAATCAATTGTATGTCCCTTACGAATTGTTTATAATATATTTAGCAGTGGCAAAGAGAACAATCAATGTTCCAAAAACAAATTATATCACCATAGAAAGAACTTAACAAGATTAAATATGGCCTGATGTCAATTCTACTAATTTTTCAAACTTAGTATTAAAAAACCCATGATAAAATTACGTTATTTTATTTGTGATTTAAAAAAAAAAAAATTGTTAATTTAAATTAAGAATGGGCTCTTTCATGTTTCCTTAACTGAGTTAGATTCCCAAAATCTGTAAGTTATTTCTCCTCCCTGTACTTTTTGCTCCCATACACCATCTCCACAAAAATTCCCCTCATCCAACGCCCCTGAGTGACTGTGCTGTATGAACTCGTTAGGGGCCCCGATTATGTAAACGGGGCCCCCGCTGCTCCCCGGGCACGTGCACGTATCGTACAAGTAGGACGATTTGCTGGACACGGACCCCTGGCCCAGTCTCTTGATCCGATGTCCGACCGAGACCATCTTTGGTTTCCCGTGGGGGTGCCCGACGACAAAGACGAGGTCGACTATGCTCCAGAACGACGTGACGTAGTCTCTGACGTAAACCACCTTCTTCGCCTTCAGGATCTGGTAGATCGTCTCTCTCAAACGATGATACGACTTCAATCTTTCCCGCAAAACTTTACACAGTGTTTCATCATCTGTGACGCACTTGACGATGCAGACATCGTTTTCGATATCTTTCATGACGATCTCTACGGGTTCTATGGATTTCAGCTTCGATCTGTCGGATTCCTCGTCGTAATCCAAAAGGCACTTGGAGTGTTTGAGTTCTTCGGCGTCGAAGAGATTGTGGGTTGCGGTCTGCATGAAAAACACCGCGTGAACTCTACCAGGAGATGACGGACACTCGGGACAAGCTTTGGATTGACCTTCGTCAACCAGACTGCTGCTGAAAATGAATCCGCTGGCGGTTCGGGTTTTTCTCTGACCCCTCAATTCGTTACCGCTGTAAGGAGTTGTCGGGTCGTTGGGAACTGTGTCTGGGCGATCGAGGCTGGTGAAAGAGATTTGGACATTAACTGTCAGCGATGCCATGACCATCACGAAATGATAGAGCAAGTTTCGAAATTCTTTAAAGGGAATGAGGTCATCTTTCACCTTGAATTTTTCAGCATTAACCGTGCGATGAATTTGTTGGTAGATGTCCGGAATATGTAATTCGCTGAAATGTTTGATTGGTATAAATTGTGAATGGCCAGGGTTTTTTTGACATAAACTCCAAAGCGTATGTGAATCTTCATCTGAATCAAAGGTCATTTTAGATTCACAAACCTCTGATTTCCCTGAATAAAATAAAGTAATCATGTAGGTTAAAAAATTGAAAAAAAAAGTAAGTTCCTTTGAAAAATAAAGAGGATGACAGTTATACATGCCAATTTACTATTGGACACAAAATAAATTGCGCTGACACAGGTGTATAGACAAATATGGAAGTAGATCAATTCATATATCAAAGTCATACACCTTTACATGTAAGAAGATATCAGTTGATCTATGCACTAGTTGCATGCATGATTGTAAGCAAATTCTAAACATAAATACATTTGTAAAATAATATAAAGGACATACAAAGACATTTGAATGCTTGAGATATCACAATCAATCATTTTAGTTTACTATAAAAGATTTCATAAATGCCTACAATGGGTCTCATATATTTAAAAATTTTGAAAATTGTTGGATTCCTGTAATGAACTTAACATTGTTATGAGGCGTAAAAATGATTTTTGCAAACAAAAAATGTTGAATAGTATGAAGTATCTTTCATATTATACATTTTATAATGTGTGTTTCCTGTGCCATCCTACCTTTGTTTAATATATGCTTCACAGCCATACTTTTTCTTTATGGACAGACAATTCTTTTAACATATAGGCCTAACTGGAAAATGAAGCAAATATTAAAAGAAAATAAGAATTTTGATTATGTGTCTTGTTTTTTGTTGACATACATTTAAAATAAAAGTAATGTAATTCACAATAGTAATCATTGAACATAGCATTATCTTTACATAAAATGTCCTTTATTGCATGAAATCAGATGCGTAGCTAAGGGGAAAGGGGCAGATGTCCCCAGGCGCCAGCTAGTTAGGGGAGCAAAGATGAGCTTTGGTATTATTTTATTGATACAATTATTGTGTTTAAGTGTTGCAAAATGATAAAGATGATCTTTAAATTGAAGCCTGTCCCCGGGCGCCAAACACTCTAGCTACACCTCTGCTTCAAATACACATAGAATGAATCGTATAAATAATAATGATATAATTCATAAATGCACGTGTCAATTATTAAAATGCAATGTATAATTTCCCTTTTATTTATTTTAACGTAATGAACTTGTTCAATGGTGAAAAAAATTATAAGCAATTAATAAATCGAAACTAAACTTTTCCTGAATTTAAATGTTTAATTCAACTTAAGTAAAATGTATGAACATATAATATGTATATACATCTTGCTTACAGCAGCACAAAATTTTAGTTAACACGTTCTAGCAACAATAAAAATAAATAAATCTAAAGCGGTTGAAATAATTCGATATGAAACACATACCTGGCTTCCCTTGTGGGTTTACAACACACCATTATTACAACACACCATTCAACTAGTTAAGGAAAATAAAACACCCTTTACCTAAATATCTTACTAACTCAAATCTAACCAATAATTTATAGGAGCAAAATGTTTGAAATAGAAATACACCTTTAATAATTTGAAAATCCCTGCTACTACTACAACATGAATTATTCTAACACAAGAATATTTTGGGGCTTTCATTTGGAGCTCGTTACAACAAAAAAAAAAAAAAAACCCAAGTTAGTCAAGAGCTGAGTTAAAAATTATACAACGCCCCAGAATTATTAGAGCGCAACACGTTAAACAGGGCTTTAGTTCGTATAGATGCAATGTAATCTTAACTATTGGAACGCGTTTTTTTTCCGCTACACAACCTGCGGTCTTCAACACAGTCCTTACTGAAAATTCCCAGTGTGGGTGAACACAGAAAACCGTCTAACGTCTAACGTCTTTTGAAGTGATAGCGCCAAAATTATGGAACAGTTCGCCTCCATATTTGAGGGGAATTGAAAACGATAAAAAATCATTAAATAGACGTTTACAAACGTTTCTGTTTCAATGGATTGAAGTAAACCAGAGCGCTGTGAGCGTGCTAAAGTAACATGGATACCAGCGCTATAGAAATGTCCTATCAATCAATTTAAGCACACTCACTATTTTTGGGGCTATTCTTCATTTTTTTAGTTCTTCTCTCCGACTTTTTCATTAAAAAAAAAATGAGTTGTCTTAACATCAAGGAATTCTAAAAAATTACGTTTACTCAACAGAATATAACTTTTAAAAAAATTGAAGAAGACAAACCGAACCTAATAGCTGCCACATAAAAAAAAAACATGCAGTCATGTTTTAAAATATTTTACTGACTCATTCGAACTATGTACGAATTCAAGCACTGAGAGATTCAGTGCCTTTATTGTGCCTTACATCCAGAGTCTAATAAATAAGGGGAAGCATTAGGAGGGACGATTTAATGAGAGGATGCTTTTATGAGGGGAGACTTTCTCGGCCAACTTCATAGTTTTGTTTTTATTTTAGTGGTCTGTTAGAGGGGGGGGGGTGGAGTTGTCTCACCGCGGACGGCTAAGTAAATAGTTCCATCACTGCTTATTAGATGTATTTAAGATCAATTTGATAAGCTCTTCCAAAGGTCGTGCGTCACTTAGTAAGTTCAGTTTTAGATCCTACTGGTTTCTATTAGGTTTAAAACTGAATCCACTTGCATTATGGTACATTTCTCACATGTGTTGCATCATTACAGTATTGGTATCTGAGAAGTTCCCAAAGTATGGTGTGTTAATTTTAAAAACTTATTCGAGTCTTACTTTATTCTTGTCTCGTACCGTGGTCTCAAATTATCTGAATGTACCCTAGTGACATTAACATCTAGTGTCTTTTAGCTAGCACACCTTGTCCTGAAACGGTTCACCAATCACGCGTGACGACCGAGACCGGAGAAAGCCTTCCGTGGGGTCGTAGTGGCTGGGTCAAAGTGTTGACTCTAAATTCTTCTTGGCCTTATCAACATAAACAGGATATACGCCGTCATTTGTTTGGCTGACGCAATGCTAACAAGTGTGTACAGAATAAATTAAACACTAAACAAAAACAACTCAATTTTTAATTCTTTTCTCTCTTTTGCGTCAACCTTCCTCTCTTAATATTTGGTGTGCACACTAAAACTTTAATTTAAAGCTACGTAGCCTTCATCTTGGAGAAGATCGCATTGGTTTGAAACGCCTAACATTGTATTTGTTTGTTCAAATAAAAACATAAATAAGTTGTTCACCTACATCAGTCGTTTGCAAACCGCGTCGCACAAGATTAATGTGGCTCCGCAGAGATTCATAGTAGTTTTTTTACCCCTTTTAAATTAATCTACAATGGCATTTAAAGAACCCCTTCAAGCCTGCAGCTCCTGAACAAATTTCTTAACACATATCTTTTTTTTTTTAAATACATCCAATTGGACCAAAAAAAAAAAGAAAAACAATTTCCGACCTCTGAGCTTTACAACATTTTTAAAGTTAGGAAAGAAAGATAATAAAAATTATTTTGAACAAATTTCTTAACACATATCTTTTTTTTTTTTAAATACATCCAATTGGACCAAAAAAAAAAAGAAAAACAATTTCCGACCTCTGAGCTTTACAACATTTTTAAAGTTAGGAAAGAAAGATAATAAAAATTATTTTGTCTCATACTGTAGAAATTTACCAGTTATCTTCCTCCGGCGATTACCGACTCTAAATGGTCACCGATTAAGTCAGTAGAGTTACTAATGTAGTTCATTTATGGTTTATTTGTACGCTAAAGAAATACTTAAGTTCTCCTTTATTCAATTTGTTATAAATGTATAATATTGTCTAGGGTTAAAAATATGCTGTTATTTATGTGCCGAAAAACGACGAATCCTGTCGTATATCGTATATTATATGTGTCTGTATTTATACTAATCCGTACAAACCAAGAGCTATACCTAGACCTGCCAGCCGGATTTTTTTTTTAAATTTCGGCTGGCTGAATTAATTTTTTTGCTGATATGCGGATTAGCCGGATTTGTCCGTAAATTGACATTTGCGGCTGATTTTCGGCTGATTACGAAATATTCGGCTGAAATTCGGGTGAAGCCTGGCCAATAATGAAGTAATAAAACTCCAGCAATGAAACACTTTTACAATACTTCAGAAAAAGTTTTATTATTTCAAACAATAGGAAAAAAAAACAGTTTTATATGCTGTCCTACTCATACAGTGCATGAATGCATTCCATTCATTCAGTTTCTGTCACTCAATACCTGATAGGCACTTAAAATATCAGTTTGTAATGGTCATGAATAAAACAAACGCGATGTAGTTTACGGTGAGTCGTTAATTTTTCGACGGATATACGGCGGACGAAATATAGCGGCTAATGCGGCGCGCGGCGTCTGTGGGGTCTAGCTATACCAGTTGTACAAAGACCCATCCTTCATTGCAACAATATAAAAAAAGGCGACCTTTGCTAAGCAATATATGTTGAAAGGAAGCCAGATTTTACAGCAGCAACAGTGATATACTGCCACAAAAGCCTAATGGAAGCCGGCTCACCAGTCGATCAATGCTGAGATGGATGGACGATGTAGAGCTCGATTTACACCAGTTGGGTGTTCGCGCATGAAAGCGGAAAGCCATGAAACGACCCGAATGGAAGGATGTATTTAACAGGCCAGAGCCCTACATGGGCTGTAGCGCCAATGATGATGACGATGTATTAAATCTATAACATGGGTGCTGGGTGGCAGAGCGTTCTAAAATGTCTCAAAACCAAAGATGGTGGTCAGGAGCTCAATCCCCACCAAAGCGAACATCTCAAACATCCCGGGTGGATGGGACTTGTCAGCCTTGAACGGCAACCCATCTAAGAGAAGGCAAACTCTGAATTTAAACCAGGAGACAGAATGATCAACAAAATGATCGTGGGCAACTCCAATATAACAAGAATAAAAAAAGATCAAGAACTCAAAGATATCATCGTATAGCCTACTTAACGACTGTACTATGAAGCTATGGCCCAATTTGTCTCTAGAGTTTATGGTTTCTTGTCTTTTCCACATGATATAAGGTTGTTTGCACTCTCACGGGTACCAGATCCTCCCTT